TTAAAAAAAAATAACCTTAATAAGGAACACGTAGACCTAGATTGCAAAAATTTCTGCCAGTGGGCTTTTCATCTATTGAAAATAAAATGAGACAAATAGATCTATTGTTATATAATTATATTTAAAATAATATAATAAAAATAATAAAAATAAAAATATATATTCTGACCGAAAGCTATTTTATACTCTGGTAAACCGAAATGTGAATTGACAGATGCCTCGGTTCGATTATGCGATTATAACCTTAAATATACCTAAAAGAGGGCAGCTATGTAAAATCATGGCCAAATATTGAAAATATTCTTCCAGATTTTTGAACTCAGGACGAGGAGCATCATGATGATTACCAAAGGCGGGGAGGTTGGATATTCTTTAACCCGAAATGCCAAATGAATGTCATTTCGGTTGAAACATTTAGATATGACTCTCAAAATACCAAAAATGACACGTTATCATTATATGGAAGCTAGATAAAAAACATGGACCTCTGTAGTCCTATGAGAAGCTTATTTAAAATATCGAAAATCATTCGGGACACTTATTTATATAGGAGCTACTCCTATATTTATACATATCTGCCATAAATATCCTCTGAAATCTTAAATATCAAATTTCAACCACTTTGATTGGAAAATCGGTGAATGCGAACAGCATTTTGCCGATTTAAATGATGTCCACTTGATAATTTTTTTTATTTATTTCCTTAATTTTTCCGACAATCGTTATTGTTTTTCTCAAAATGAATTAATTTCCCAATGACAACAAACCTTCAGCAACAATCTAATATTAAAATGTTCGCAAATACACCAATTTCCAGTCATTCAAAGCTAATTTAACGTTTTTGCAAATGATCACGATTTTCCTAGTTCTCCGTGGTGAAAATACTCGTTTATCGATACACACAGCAACTACACAATTTACCCTAACCAACGGTAAAAGTTTGATGTCAATACGTTCATCCATTACTGAGTTATAGGCATTTCAAATTGACTCTGTGTCAAAATATAGCGGCTACACGATTCTGTTGGCCTGGTACCACAAATTGGAAAATTGAAGAAATCGCAAATGGATAAAACCACAAAATACTACAATGTTACCAGATCGCTACCATAATGTTTTAATGTTAGTTTATGAATGTTTATAAATTCTGAGCATACTTTTAGGCGTTACATTAAAATCACGAGCCATATAACTTCCTCATGGACATCATTTTAAATGATGCGCCTGAAAGTATGCTCAGAATTTGTAAGTCAACCAACCAAATCAAAGTAAAAAATCGAAAAATGTGGCAATGATGCTGTTTTGTAATTTTTCGCGTTTGTGAAAATGCCATTTTTCCAATTTGAGGTATCAGGCCAACAGAATCGTGTAGCCGCTATATTTTGGCACAAGGTCAACTTGAAATGGCTATAACTCAGTAATGAATGTACGTATCGACATAAAACTTTTACCGTTGGTTAGGGTAGATTTTGTAATTTGTATGTGTATCGATAAACAAGTATTTTCACCACGGATAACTAGGGAAATCGTGATGATTTGCAAAAACGTTAAATTAGCTTTGAATGGCTGGAAATTGGTGTATTTGAGAAAATTTCGATATTAGATCGTTGCTGAATGTCATGTTCTCATTGGAAAAATAATTCATTTGGAGAAAAACAATAAAAATTGTCGGAAAAATTAAGGAAATTAAGAAAACATTTTATCAAGTGGATGGACATCATTTAAGTCGTAAAATGCTGTTCGCATTCACCGATTTTCCAATCAAAGTGGTTGAAATTTGATATTTAAGATTTCAGAGGATTAAGTACCACCTCTTGGCTGATATTTATTAGTATAGGAGTATATGTTCTGACGCGTAGTTCCTATATAAATAAGTGTCCCAAATGATTTGTTGATATTTTAAAGGTCCTCACCGCGTAGTTTCCTAACCAAAGTGGTTGTAATTGGGTATTTCGGTCCTCAGCTTCTTATAGGACTACAGAGGTCCATGTTTTTTATCTAGCTTCCATATAATGGTAACGTGTCATTTTTGGTATTTTGAGAGTCACATGTAAATGTTTCAACCGAAATGACATTTATTTGGGATTTCGGGTTCGGATTAAAGGCTGGAAGAATATCCACCCACTCCCCCTTTTGTAATCATCTTGATGTTGTCTTCCATTACTCGTACTGAGTTCATAAACCTGGAAGAATATTTTCAATATTTGGCCATGTTTTTACATAGCTGCCCTCTTTTAGGTATATGTAAGTTTATAGCCGCATTATCGAACCGAGGCATCTGTCAATTCACATTTAGGTTTACCAGAGTATACAATACCTTTCGGTCAGAATATTTTTTGTAATTAATGTGAATAAAATTATATAACAATGGATCTATCTATCTCATTTTCTTCTTAAGTATTTTCCAAGAGATTTTTACAATGTAGGCTGATGACTTGACACATGGGTCCATGTGTTCCTTATTAAGGTTTTTTTTTTAAGTACGAGCCTCAGTGGCTGAAAATTTAGTTTTTCAGGTTCTGAGAGGTTAAAATATCTAACTTAGCTGGCTTGTGACAGAACTTTCGTTCCATAAGCCGAGCTTAAAAAAGATTTCCAGGCGTGTCGGTCTTTTGCACAGTTTTTCCAATTTGATAGACCCTATTCGGCAATGTTGTTTCCATCTTATCCCCTTCTGAGTGATCCATTAGCTGGTTCGCTTTTATATGCCTTCTGGGCTGGGGCATCTTCATCCATTCTCACAAGATGACCTAGCCAACGTAGTCGCTGCAGTTCAATACGTCTAAAAATATCGATGTCCGAGAATAGCTGGTACAACTCATGGTTCATTCGACGGCGATATTCACCGTCAACGCCAGATCGGCCTATAGATCTTTCGGATAATTTTTCTCTCAAACACTCCAAGAGCTGCCTCATCTGCTTGCGCAAGTACCCATGTTTCAGATCCATAGAACAGCACACGGGTAGTATCAGCGTCTTGTAGAGTATGAGTTTGGTCTGGCTGGAGGTGGCCTTGCTTTTGAGTTGTTTGCTCAGATCATAGAAGTATCTGTTGGCCATCACTATCCTTCTCCGAATTTCAAAACTGAGGTCATTCGTTTTGTTTATGGCGGTACCAAGGTATATAAAATCGTTGACTACCTCGAAGCTGTAGTTCTCAAGTTCCACAGTTGGTCCGAGTCTACTGGACGTCTTGCGCGTTGATACCATTTCTTGTTTTCTGCCAGACCCACTTTGTCACTCTCCTTTTCAATTTGTTCATAGGAGGTTGTTACCGCTTCCTTCTTTTTTCTGAAAATACGTTTCTCCTCTCCCCATCACATTACGTGTTGCTATTGCATGTAGGGTTGCCCTATAGGCACGATGCGTTTTCCACATCAGTAGCATTACGACACTCCTGATCTCATATGAAGCAAAGGAATATCAAATTTCATCGAAACTTTGCACATCGTAATATGTTTACCTAGCATAGATCATAGATCGAAGATGGGACCCGTCGGTCCTCTTCTTCTAATACCTTCGCTCAAAAGGTCAATATTTTACAAATCTGCAAATATTATTTAAAGCGAACGTGAGAATATATTTTTTAAAATTATATATTTTTATTTTATGATTTTTCGAACTTACCTGCAAAACGATCCTTTGCATAGAAAAAACAACAACTTCACCATTTTGTTCTACTTTCTAAATATACATTAGAATGTTCGTACAATACATACATATATTTTTTTTCATCGAAAATTATTTTTAAATCTAAGATTCTTAAAAATTAAACATGTATGAGTGTTTTTTTCGTCATCAGCAGCAAGGATGAGGAGGAGACCACAATTAAAAAGACGAATTTCAAAATTAAACAAAATATTTTTAATATTTAAAATATATTAAATATTTAAACAAAAATATTTTATTTGCTTATATACTTAACCATAAGGAAGGAATATAGAGCGTTGTTGATTGTTTTGTTATATGTCTATATATGTATATATTTATATATTGTTGTTGTAATCTGGTTTGTAAGTACAAAGGAAAGTAACCAATATTATTATGGGAATTCAATTTAATTATCTATGAAGGAAATGAGTTATTTATTTTGTGGTATAGATGATGTAGATAACTTAGGAACAATTATATTAAGATGTAATAGAAATTTTTGATGACAGAAAACAAATCAAAAAAAAATTTTCATATAATATATAAACCAAAAATAAAATAAAATTCATTTTTTTTATATTTAATATCAAGGCAATAGTAATAAGACAATATTTTCATTTTTTATCTTTTAAATGACTTCTAATGTTTTTTATGGGTTTTAAATTTATTTTTTAATGCACTAATGTACATTGAGAGAATTTGAGATTATAAGTGTATGCGCGATTGCTTAAATAATTTAATATCTAGAAATAATAATAAAAAAATCTCTATAGTTAAATGGGCAAAATCATTTTTTTTAAATCACAAAATAAGCAACAAAATAAAAAGTTTATTTCGTTTTTAGTTTAAGTCAAAAATTTATGTATTATTATCGTTAACACATAATAAAATCTGTGGAAGAAAATTTAAAATTTTTTTATAAAACGCCAAAAAGTATGCAACAATTTTTATGCCCTTCAATAACCATATTAAAATTCATTTCATTTTCAATTTAAAAATTACAATAAATTATTTCATTAAATGTTCAACCAAAAAATATGAATATTAAAAAAAGTCTCTCGGTATTGAAGAGCATTTGATTTAATTTAATTAATTGATAATTTATAAATTTGAATTCTATGAAAAATGTTTTGTGTTATTTTTGTTTTCGTCATGTGTTGTGTATTTAAGTTTATATATGAAAGTTCCTTATAATTATATATAATGATTTGTTTTTGCTTGTTTTATTTCAAAAGAAATACTAAAAACTCAACGAAGGCCATGTTGTCGTCGTCAAGTTCTGCGGTGTGCCAGCATTTGCAAAATCTCAAGTATCTCCTTTTTTGTGGTTGTTGTTTTTATTTTGTAATCTATTTGCTGGCCAGTTTCCTTCGAACGTGATCGTGTTTCTTAAACAACGACTTGAATTCGGATTTGTCACGAACATATCTCTCAAATTCATCTGCAAAGAAATTTAAAGGAATTTTTTTTAAAGAAAAAGTTTAATAAAAAATTAAATCTAAAAAAATATTTGGAAGCCTGGCCTACAAAAGAGTCGATTTTTCTTAAACATTTGCCAGCAGCAGCATTTATAGAAAAATATATTCAAGTTGTTCTGAATAGTGTTCGTCGTGGACTAATATGTAACTGAATTTTGGACTCATACCGACATTTGTACAAACCGATTATGTAAATCATGATACAAATTTCAGAAATTTTTAATGGGTGTATACACTTTCACACGATGAAAATGAGCCTCATCGAAATATTGGTTCTAGACCCCATGTTTCTTTGGACCAAATTTGTTTCAGATAATTTTGATTTCATCAAAACTTTGCTCATCTTATTATTTCTACCAAACTTAGTTCAAGTTCGAAGATGGGGAATATCGGTCCACTCCATCTGGTACCTCCCACATAGCGGCTAGGCCTAAATGTTCATATATAGTTCATTATCGAACCTTACGTTCTATTTTTTTATCTCTTTATCTTCCGCAGGTGAAATTATTGTAACAGAGTCTTAGAACCAAACCCAAAACGCGGAACAAATTATATAACTATTTTAATATAAATTATATAACTATTTTATATATGGGGACTACCCCTAAAAGAGGGCGAGTATTAATATTTTTTAGTGGGGAGATTTGTTACCATATACGACTACAAAATACCAAATTGCAACGCGCTCAAGAATTCGGTAGAAAAACGCGCTCAAGAACCCCAAAATAACGAAAAATGGGGGTACCTTTATATGGGGGCTATCCATAAAAATTGACCTATATTCATATTTTTTGTGGAGAGATTTGGTACCTATTAAGAACTCAAAATACTAAATTACAGCCAATTCGGTGGAAAAATACAATCAAAACCCCTAAAATACTGAAAATTAGGAGGTACCGTTATATGGGGGCTACCAGAAAAAGAGGACCTGCAGACAAAAGACACACCTATGCAAAATTTCTGCACCCTATCTAAATTCCTTCAGAAGTTAGCGTGATTACAACAGACAGATGGACGGACAAGACTAAATCGTCTTTATAGGTCGGAAATGAATATTTCGATGAGTTACAAACGGAATGACAAAATTAATATACCCTCTATACTATGCTGGAGGGTATAAAAACGTGAGCGTAAGCAAATCGAGATGTACAGGGGTCAGAATCAAGTCCGGAAATTTTACCAACGAGTAAAACACTAAACCAAAGCACATTCTCCTGTAGAGATGTAGAGAAGGAAACCTGATGACAGATACAGACAGCGTGTTGAGGATCTGGAAGGATCATTTTGAAAAGTTTCTGGTATCAAATAGTAGCAGTGAAGCAGATACCCCAGAACCAAAAAGAGATGACGGTATAGATTGTATACCACACCTAGCCAACATGAGGTCAGAATAGCAATCAATCGGCTGAAGAGTAACAAAGCAGCCGATGGGTTACCAGCCGAACTATTCTACACAGGTGGTCAGATGCTTGTCAGGAACATGCACAAACGGATTAGTACAATTTGGCTAGAGGAATGCATGCCCAATGATGATTGGAACCTCAGCATCCTGTGCCCTGTGCACAAAAAAAGGAGATAAGACGATATGTGCCAACTATAGAGGAATTAGTCTCCTTCGCATAAAGTGCTATCCTGCATACTGTGTGAAAGACTGAAGCCAATGGTCAATGACATTATTCGACCGTACCAATGCAGCTTCAGACCTGACAAATTCACCATTGACCAGATTTTCACACTGCGCCAGATCCTAGGAAAGACCCACGAAAAACACATCGGCACATTCCACCTATTCGTTGACTATAAAGCCGCATACGACAGCCCTATCCGTTCAGAGCTATTTAAAGCCATGCGTTCGGCATTCCTGCAAAATTAATACGGCTATGCAGGATAACTTTGAGTGGCACAAGGTCAGCATTTAAAGTCGGAAAGGACCTATCGATATCGATCGCAGTGGTATACATGACATCATGTTTATCCGTCAAGGGTGAATCATCCCAGCAGAGCTAAGTGTGAATACTTTCTTTACTCAGACGGAAAGTAAGGTCCGCAAAAAATGGTCGATATAATTTTATGGTTTTAAAGTATTTGTTAAGCATGTACTTCCCGAATTTAGGAAGTTACCTTAGCCCAAGAAGAGCAAGACCTGAAAAGAAGGTCCTCCGTCTATAGAATCTCAAAAAAAAGTATTTGGCCTGAGTATATAGAAGGCATGAAGGCGAAAGGCCTAACCAAGATCTTCTTTTTGATATTGCGCCTTCAGAAGCCATGAAGAAGTTCGTCGGCCTATAAAAGGCCTGAAGAAAGTCTTCTGTCCTATGCATATTAAAAGCTTGAAGGAGGTCTTTATCTACAAAATGCCCGAAGATGAAAAAATTCATCTGAGAGCCTACAGAATGCCTTCCCTCTATAGAGGGCCTGAAGATCTCATATATATAGAAAAGGTCTGAGGAAGCTACTGCGTTTTTACAAGCCCTGTAGTCATGTATCTACAAAAAGCCTTATGAAAATATTGCGTCGAAGTAAGTTATTCAGTCTATATTATGTCTGAAGAAAGCCTTTATTTCTCCCAAAAAAAAGTCCTGAATATCATCTATGTACCGTTTTATACATCCATCCTCACTTCTAGACGTGTTGCTCAAAAAGTTATTGTAAGGACTATCACTTTGTTTTGGAAGTGGGTTCTACATACTGTCCTATTTTTGACTTTATGGTGAAAAGAAATGTGTTCGTCTTGTCTGGATTAACATTAAAGCTGTTTAACGGCGTTTCACCCCTTTCTGCCTATAAGTTTTGATTATTTCCCCATAGAAAGATTAAAATAAAGTCTTCATAACAGATTGATTCAAATCCATATTCGGTTAAGTTCCTTAAGAGATATATTCGTTTACTACTTACCAAATGTGATTTTGCCTCGATTTGTAACATCAATTGACACATAGAGAGCATCAATTTTTTCTGTGGTAAATTTGCTGAGGTTGGCATGTTTAAGAATTTTGGCTAATTCCGGTCGTGTTATTTGATCACGTTCTTCTGTGTAAATCTAGAAAACAAAAGGGAAACCATGTTTAGTACAGACATTAACATCACAAAAAAAAAAATCCGAAGTGAAACCCACATTTGTTATAGCTTTTAAATACTCAATGGTTTCGGCGTTACTCATCTTACAGAAATGGGCACACAATAACAGATTCTTCAAACTAACCGTACCCGCATGACGCTGCAAAAAAAAAAATAATACATTTAAATTAATTAGAAAACAAATGACACAAAATATTCAAATGAAAACCTACATAATCCAATACTGAGAACAAACGATGTAAATGTGGATTTTTAATATTAACTTCTAATAGCTCTGAGAATGTCAAGAAATCTAGTTTATCACGATTTGGTATGCTTGAGAATTTTGTGGTTAATTCCGAGATTGGGGTGGCACTAATAAGGCTGTAAAAATAGAATAGAGGGATGCATTTAATACAACATTTAATTACACATAAAACCACCCGCATTAATACTCACTTCAATTTATCTAAACATCTTTCAATTTCAACAATATCACCAGACAGGGGGATTTTCAAGTCACGTGCCCTGGTCATAACAATAACATCTTCAAAGGAATATTCTGAGGTGGGGACACCCAATGCTCTAAAAATAATTAAAAGAAAACATAATTTAATTAATTTCCTCAAATCAAATGCGCATTAAAACACGTACTTGGCCATAACTTCTCGCACATTTTTAGCATATAAATTGGGATTGGCCTTCTCTTCCTCGGATGGATGATAGACGGGCAGAAATTCAATTTCACAGCGACTATAAAAACTGGCCATGGTCAACCAAAGAAGTTTTAATCTGAAAAATAAATAATTGAAAAAATTTAAAATTTTAGGATTTAAATTTTGAAATGTCATACAACTTACACTCCCGGTCCATCCCAGGTCCAGGTGAATGTATCATATTTATTGGGATAGCGTAGCAAGACGGGTTGTACCGGCACGCCGGGATAGAAAGCACCACCCTTAAATTTAATCAAAGCCTTACGATTGGTACATGTACCCTCGGCAAAAATGACCACCTGTGGCCAATCTTCACCAGATCGAGCCCGCTCGACAATTTCGCGAATGGTATTTTGTCGTGAATTAGGATCTTCACGTTGTACATAGATGGGTTGGGCATAATTGATGATTTCTGCAAGAAAAAATTAAAAAAATTATTATTATTCACATAAATGAGTTTATAAAATACATAAATATATAATTTAGATAACATAGATAAATTATTTTGGATTTTAGATAAATTATTTTCGAAATTTTTAGTTTTGCAAAAACTCAACTCCTTCGGACCACTTGAAAAATTTTTGTTACCCAAGTCGTTTAGAACACTCAAATAAATTAATGTGGAATTATTTTCGATATTTACAGGGTGAATAGTTTAAATAATTTATCTAATTAATTTCACTTAGATAATTTGTTATGATCTATTTGATAAGTCAAATACGATATAAATTCAATAAATTATATAATTTATTTATTGCATCCGGTTATTTGGAACACATAGATACGTTGTATAATATTTTTTTAGCTTGTTGCATTTATTATTACATAACATAGATAAGTTATCCAAGTCATTTGGATAACATAGATAAATTATGCAAAACATTTGGATAACTGATATTTTTAAAACTTAGATAAATCAGATACAATTGAATTCGTATTTAATATGTCCATACATTTAGAAAGCATAGATAATTTGTAAAATTAATTTAAAATACTTGGAAAAGTTATCTATCTATACAAAACAGATAACATAGATTGATTATACATATATAAATAAATTAGATATATAATTTACATACTTCAGATAACTTAGATAAATTATCCGTGTCATTTAGATAAATTATCCATGTCATTTAGATAACTTAAATAAATTTATTTATGTCATTTAGATAACTTAGATAAATTTTCCATGTCATTTAGATAACTTAGATAAATTATCCATGTCATTTAGATAACTTAGATAAATTTTCCATGGCATTTAAATAACATAGATAAATTATCCATGTCATTTAGATAACTCAGATAAATTATCTATGTTACTTCATAAGAAAACTTTATAGATATGTTATCTACATACTGCAGATAACTTAGATGAATTATCCATGTCATTTAGATAACATAAATATAATTATCCATGTCATTTAAATAATATAGATAAATTATCCACGACATTTAGACAAAATTGATTAATTATCCAAGTGGTTTGAACAATTTTTTTTAACAGATATAAATTATCTAAGTTATTTTGTAAGAAAAATTCATAGATATATTATCTACATGCTGCAGATAACTCAGATAAAGTATCCGTGTCATTTAGACAACTTAGATAATTTATCCATGTCATTTAGGTAACTTACATAAATTATCCATGGCATTTAGATAACTTAGATAAATTGTCCATGTCATATAGATAACTTAGATAAATTATCCATGTCATTTAGATAACTTAGATAAATTGTCCATGTCATTTAGATAACATAGATAAATTATCCATGTCATTTATATAAATTATCTACTACATTTAGACAAAATAAATTAATTATCCAAAAGATAACATAGATTAAGTATACATAGAAAAATTATCTAAGTTATTTCGTAAGAAAACTTCGTAGATATATTATGTACTAATTACTGTCATTTAGATAATTTACCTAATTTACTTAAATGTATTTAAAATATTTAGATAATTTATCTAAATTATTTGGATAATTTAGATAAATTATCTAAATAACTTAAATAAATTATCTAAATATTTTAAATAAATTATTTTAATAATTTAGATAAATTATCTAAATAACTTAAAAAATTATCTAAATAAATTAGGTAAATTATCTAAATAATTTAGGTAAATTATCTAAATAATTTAGATGAATTATCTAAATAATTTAGATAAATTGTCTAAATAATTTAGATAAATTATCTAAAAAATTTAGATATATTATCTAAATATTTTACATAAATTGTCCAAATATTTTCAGATAAATCATATCTAGATATATCTTTATAAGATTATTTATATACATAACCCCATTGAAACCATTCTTCTAGAGGCGTCGCGATACTTACTGCCCAACAATGGAATATCAGCTGTTTCACGTTTCGCCACAATGGCCGGTGGCCCGGTTGTGACCACAACAATTGAATCCACATATGATGAATGTGGTGCCACTACCAAAATGGGTGCTTCCTTGGGTGATGCTCTTTGACCTTTGAATGTGACATAGTGAAATGAGCCGGCGGCATAAAGCATGCGCATAGCCGAGGCCACCAAGGTCTGAATGTTTCTAAAATGAAAAAACAAGAAGAAGAAGAATTAAAAAATCAACAAAAATACAATAACAAAAGAAAACAACAACAACATACCTGCGCCAACCGGATAGCGGACGTTTATTTATCTCCTCGACTGTGGTGCCATACAAGCCAATGCAGGCAAACATCCAGGCGGAGACCAGTGAAAGTACACAGCCCACAACGCGAAGGGGTACCAAGAGGGCAGTGAGAATATAAATCTGAAATTTTGAAGAAGAAAAAAATCATTAATCAAGGCAAAGCCAAAAAACAAATGGATTAGATTTCAAGATTAGGCAAAATCAGGTGAAGTGGATGTGACGACGTGGAACGAAACTTGAAGAGCTTGCAATATTTTTGTGTACACTTAATAATAAAAAAAAATAATATATCGGCATATATATTTAAAAAACCAGATTAGATAAGCTTAAAACAATTTGTTAATACACAAAAAAAATTAAAATATCGAATGATTTATTAAATTCCGCCAAAAGCGCACCACTCAATGGGGATAAAGGTAATTCCGTCCCTATTATCGTCGTTGTGGTATTCTGGTGTGAGTCTCTGTCACATTTCAAAATAATAGATAAAACTCTGTTACAATGCAATGCATTTAAACGGCAACCGTTTGCAAATTTGAAACCCTAAAATTTCAAAATTGTCACGCAATATCCAAAGTAATGATGACTGGTAGTCTGTCTCTCGGCATTCGGATGAAATGAGGCGGTTAATGAAGAGATAAGAATGAAACAAATTAAGTAATTTGTTTATATTTTGCAAAAAAAACAGCTAAACGCCATAATATGCATGATTTATAAAACAAAAATGTCTGTTTTCTATTTCAAAAAATCGATTCGGTCCAAATTACAGCCAACACATTAAAATGTTGTGATTTATGACCAAAAACTAAACAACAAAAAATTAACTAAACAAATTCCAAAATTGCGAAAGAAAATTTTTTTTTTCATGATAAAGGTATATTTGTTTATATGAACATATTTAAATCTTAATGTGAAGGCAGATGGAGAATTTTCAAGGCATTTAGATAAAATTCACAAAAACTGTGGTAACAATTTGGAAAAAGCAGTAAGTTCAAAAGTCGGACGGGGCCGGACGACTATATGATAACCTTCACCACTTTGGTACATGCAAGACATGTTAATATATACAATATCCTGTAGATAGAACGGTCATAGAATCTTCGGAGGCCAATTGAGATGAAATCGGGTGGAATTAAATGTGCTATCTAGATAAATATTTGAACCAATTGAAAACCCCCATACACATACCATTCTGAAATCAATGAAATTGCATTTCAAACGGACAGACTTGGATTCTTTGGTGTACCATTTGCATGAAATCGAGTCAAATTATGTATGAGAGCTATATATAAACACATGGACCTAATTGAGTAACCGTTGCATACACCATTTGTTTTTTGTAATCACTATATTCAATATAATACCCTCTGCCAAATATCGTGTAACCACCATTTACATAAATTTGAACGAAAATGTATATAAGACCTATATCAAAATCTTAACCGATTTCAACAAAACTTATCACGCATCACTTTTTTCTCAGTAGCATTCGCTATGCAAAATTTTACTCAATCAGATAAATATTGGGTGTATCATTCACAAAAAATCTGAACCGATTTTAACAAAATTTTGCAGACATCAATCTGCACCTAATTCAGTACTCTGTACAAAATGTTATACCAATCGGACAAATATTGGAAGTTTGGTGTATCATTCACCAAAAAATCGGACGAATCTATATATGGGAGCTATATCTAAATCTGAACCGATTTTAGCAAAACTTCACAGACAACAGTCTGGACGTAAATCAGTACTCTGTGCAAAATCTTGTACAAATCGGACAAATATTGGAAGTTTGGTGCATCATTCACATAAAATCGGACGAAACTATAAATGGGAGCTATATCTAAATCTGAACCGATTTCAACTTAACTTCGCAGACAACAGTCTGGACCTAAATCAGTACTCTGTGCAGAATTTTGTCCCAATCGGACAAATATTGGAAGTTTGGTGCATCATTCACATAAAATCGGACGAAACTATATATGAGAGCTATATCTAAATCTGAACCGATTTCAACTTAACTTCGCAGACAACAGTCTGGACCTGAATCAGTACTCTGTGCAAAATTTTGTCCCAATCGGACAAATATTGGGAGTTTGGTGCATCATTCACCAAAAAATCGGACGAAACTATATATAGGAGCTATATCTACATCTGAACCGATTTTAACAAAACTTCGCAGACATCAATCTGCACCTAATTCAGTACTCCGTGCAGAATTTTGTCCCAATCGGTCAAATATTGGAAGTTTAGTGCATCATTCACATAAAATCGGACGGTACTATATACGGAAGCTATATCTAAATCTGAACCGATTTTAACTTAACTTCGCAGACATCAATCTGAATATGATTCAGTACTCAATGTAAAATTTTGTCTCAATTGGACAAATATTGGGAGTTTGGCGCATCATTCACGAAAAATCGGACGAAACTATATATGGAAGCTATATCTAAATCTGAACCGATTTTAACTAAATTTCGCAGACACCAGTCTGGACCTAAACAGTACTCTGTGCAACATTTTGAACCAATCAGACAAATATTGGGAGTTTGGTGTATCATTCACCAAAAATCGGACGAAACTATACATGGAACTATATCTAAATCTGAACCGATTTTCTCCAATTTAAATAGAGTTCGTCCTTGGACCAAATAAGTGATTTTAACTTAACTTCACAGACAAAAGTCTGGACCTAAATCAGTACTCTGTGCAAAATTTTGTACCAATCGGACAAATATTGAGTGTTTGGTGTATCATTCACAAAAAATCGGACGAAACTATATATAGGAGCTATATCTAAATCTGAACCGATTTTAACAAAACTTCGCAGACATCAATCTGCACCTAATTCAGTACTCTGTGCAGAATTTTGTCCCAATCGGTCAAATATTGGAAGTTTAGTGCATCATTCACATAAAATCGGACGATACTATATATGGAATCTATATCTAAATCTGAACCGATTTTAACTAAACTTCGCAGACATCAATCTGAATATGATTGAGTACTCTGTGCAAAATTTTATCCCAATTGGACAAATATTGGGAGTTTGGTGTATCATTCACCAAAAAACGGACGAAACTAGGACGAGATACATATATCTAAATCTGAACCGATTTTCTGCAATTTAAATAGAGTTCGTCCTTGGGCCAAATAAGTGAACTGTGCCAAATTTCATCCAAATAGGATCATAAATGCGACCAGGCCAATGGAATGTCTGATTTGAACCAAACTTTTCATAACCTATTATCTTTATCAAGCCCAGATGAAGTTCAAAAATGGGACCCATTGGTCCACTCCTTCTGCCACCTCCCACACAAATGGTCTAAATTTTTAATTTTTATGAATCCAATCAACAAAAAATCCCCAATTTTTGTTTAATTAAAATTTTTGTTTTTAAATGCAATCACATTTTTTTTTAGAATTTTAAAATTTTTTTAAGGAAATATGGCTCGAGATACGTGGATTTTAGATTATTTGAAGATTACTTTTTAAAAAATATGAGGGGATTTTCGAAATATTTTGTAGGGACGGTTACAATAAAATTGGAGTTTGAAAACTATTTTTAAGGACTATCACAAAAAATGTAAACATAACAATTTTTTTAATGACTTTCTGAATTTTTTTTTTTAATTTAAAACCCTGTTTTTAGATATTTTTTAAGAAAATAAGAGCGTCACAAGGGGTGGATTATGAATTTTTAGCATCACATGGCTAGGAATTTTTATAGAATTTTTAAGGATTATTAGAGCCCTACGTTTTATAATCTGGTACCCACAAAGCATAGGTTTTTCAAGACATCTTTTTAGTATTTTTTTATCAGTTTATCCTCCATTCGATTTAAAATATTCCAAAAAAATGTTCGAGCTCATAAATATTCAATTTGATCAAATCGAAATCAACAATTATCAAAAAAATCCCCTTTGAAGACAAGACAGACTTTTAGCGACGACCCCAACAACCAAATACATGGTATTAAAAATGTATATTTGTATGAAAAATTATTGTTGTTGCTATTTTTAGCATAATCTAACAACAAAACCAAAAAAATTGCATAAAAATCAATGACCGATAAAAATTCAATGTCAAGAGCAGAGTACAAAACGATTAGACAGACCTCGTGTAAGGCCGGGGGTAGAGATATTATCACACCTTATCGTACGATTTTTATACCTATACATATAATTACTAATGGCAACACTTAAGAAACAAAAATGTGGGAAAACAACAACAAAAATCACAACAAATGTGGGGTAAAGAATAACAACACAGAGAAAAATACAACTACTGCTGCTGCACTCTTGGCCATGACTGTGACACAGATTGTTAGTCGGCGGTTTGTCTTCTGTTTTGTTTTCTTTTTTGTGATTGTCCTCATTTTTTGTTTACTTATTTTTCTTATTGTTTCTCTGTTTTTTACAGATTTTAAAATTTTTATATTTAATTTTTCAACCTTGCATTTTGGGGCATAAATTTTCAATATCGCGTTCCTCATGGTGGATGATATGAACCAAACAAAAATATGTATATTGTTCCATTTTTTTTCAAAATTTTGTAGACATGAAAATCCTAAAAAAATTAAAAAATTTCTATTGCAAAATGTTTGTTGTATTGAAATCTAGATAATCGATTCGATTCCATAAAATAATTGATCACATTTCGACTTTGTACCGGTGTGGTTGTTGTTCCACCAGGTCATTTATGCTAATAATGCTAAAAATAATTCAATTATTTCCAATTCCCATACAACTTGAAATAAATATGTTGGGTAATACTAGATTTGTTGTTATGTGTGTTTATACATATATAAAGCGGATTTTTTTTTTTTTTGAGATATTTTGCTATCTATTTTTGAATGTATACTTTGTTTTACTTTTAGGTAGAAAAAAAAATTTAGTGAACATTTTATGTGCATATCTTAATCTTCAAATTGGATTTTGAATTTTTCGCCACAGTAGTTTTAATTTTTGTAAAAAAATTACCTTTTGAGTGATGGCCCTGCACTTGACCCGACTCGACATCAATTTGGATGATTGTTTTTCATATTCCATTGTTAATCATCTCTACTCATGTCCGATTGTTTTCGTTTGAATTATTCGTCTCTGTTTGTCTTTGGCCTGTTGGGGTTTTCTATTGTCATTTTTATTAAGCGGTTTGGGGCAATTTGTTGACAGTGTTTTATAGTCACATATTAATAATTGGGGCCAAATTTAGTCATCACCTCACATTTTTTATTATGATTTTATTTGTTTGCTAAGATATGCTAATGAAATCGCCAGCTATTGTCTTGCTGTCTAGAGTAGGGGGTCTTGGTCCAATTTATTTCAATTTTTTTGCTTATGAAATAGCTTCTAAGAATTGTTCATTTCCTTGAAAGATAAACATTTTGCACCCAAAATGCACCCAATAACGTAAATTAGGTGGTTTAAAAAATATCAAATACTGGCTGTGAAGAAGATACCCCAGAACCAATAAGAGATGACGGTATACCACCTAGCCAAGATGAAGTCAGCAATCAATCGGCTGAAGAATAATAAAGCAGTGATGGATTACCAACCGAACTATTCAAGACTGGTGGTCAGATGCTGGTGAGGAGCATGCACCAACTGATTTGACTAAAGGAATACCCAATGATTGCAACCTCGGCATCCTGTGTCCCGTGCACAAAAAGGGGACAAGACGTTATGTGCCAACTAAAGAGGAATAACTCTCCTTCCCATCGCATATAAAGTGCTATCCAGCGTACTGTGTGAACGACTGAAGTCAATGGTCAATGACATTATTGAACCATACCAATGCGGCTTCAGACCTGGCAAATCCACCATTGAACAGATTTTCACTCTGCGTGCCAGATACTAGAAAAAAACTCACGAAAAACACATCGACACATTCCAACTATTCGTCGACTATAAAGCCGCATTCGACAGCCCTATCCGTTCAGAGGTGTTTTTAAAGCCATGTCTGCGTTCGGCATTCCTGGAAAATTAAAACGGCTATGCAGGATAATTTTGAGTGGCACAAGGTCAGCAGTTATAGTCGGAAAGGACCTCTCGGAGCCCTTTAATACCGAACGAGGATTCAGACAAGGTGACAGTTTGTGTGTGATCTTTTTAATATACTGCTGGAAAAGGTCATACGAGACGCAAAGGTGAACAGAGAAATGACACTCTGTACACCAAACAACACTTGTTACTCGCCTACGCCGATGACATCGACATAATGGGCCAACAGCCACCTTTGAACAAATTGAGGAGTCTGCCAAAGTGGGTCTGGCAGTAGACGGCGAGAAGACCAAGCTGATGGTATCAACGCGCAAGACGTCCAGTAGACTCGGACCAACTGTGGAACTTGAGAACTACTGCTTCGAGGTAGTCAAAGATTTTATTTACCTTGGTAGCGCTATAAATAAAACTAATGACATCAGTTTTGAAATTCGGAGAAGGATTGTGATGGTCAACAGATGCTACTAGGTTTAGAAAAAAAGGCCACCTTCCGCCAGACCAAACTCACACTCTACAAGACGCTGATACTACCCGTGTTGTAATATTGATCTGAAACATGGGTACTTACGCAAGTAGATGAGGCAGCTCTTGGGGTGTTTGAGAGAAAATTTCTCCGAAAGATCTATGGCCGGATCTGCGTCGACGGTAAATATCGGCGTCGAATGAACCATGAGTTGTACCAGCTATTCTCGGACATCGACATAGTCACTCCTATTGAGCTGCAGTGACTACGTTGGCTATGTCATGTTGTAAGAATGGATGAAGATGCCCCCAAAACGCAAATAAAATCGAAACAGCTGATGGTTCACGCAGAAGGGGAAGGCCACGAATTAGATGGAAAGACCAAGTAGAAGACAAGATCTTGGAACGTGGTCTTTCAAATTATAGGAGATGCGCACAATACTGACGCGTTTGGAAATCTTTTATAAGCTCGGCTTATGGAATAACCGTTCTGTAACAAGCCAGCTAAGTAAGTATATCTAAATCTGTACCGATTTCAACAAAACTTGGCATACATCAATCTGGACCTAATTCAGTACTCTGTGTAAAATTTTGTCCCAATCGGGCAAATATTGGCAGAATGGTGCACCATTTACTTAAAATCGGACAAAACTATATATGGGAGCTATATCTAAATCTGTACCGATTTAGAAAAAAAAAAACTTGGCATATATAAATGTAGACCTAGTTCAGTACTCTGTGCAAAATGTTGTCTCTATCGGACCAATTTTGTCAGTTTGGTGCACTATTTGCATAAAATCGGTCAAACTTGTGTATGGGAGCTTTATCTAAATCTGAACCGATTTTATTCTGATTTTATTCAAATGACATGTGCCAAATTTCATCCAAATCGGATCATAAATGCGACCTGTACTTTGTTTACAATTTAACATGGACAGACGGACTAACGGACGGACATGCATAAATCCACTTATGCATATTCTCAATAGGAACCATTTGACTATCTCGTTTCCTTTTGCCTGTTACTAACATAAGCACAATGATATAATACCCTGCACCACAGTGTGGTGAAGGGTATACAAATTGGCTTGTGATTAAAAAAAGCCGTTCTAAAATTATAAATAGATTTTCTCTAGGAACAACAGTCCCCACATTCAAGTAGTTAGGGATAAATAATACTACAATCAGACATACCATCCACTTGAGGTTTGTGTACTAAACTGCATCAAAAATAAACAAACATTGTGGAAAACATCCCTGCTGTTCCAGGGTACTTGAAAAATGTAGAACATTGTTTCGAATAACGGCATATGGCGCCGTTCACATATGTTTCCTTGCTTTTCTCATATGTCCTCAACATAAATAAACATAAAACTATTTTCCATTTTGAAGTTACGCAAGGAAATAATGATAATGTCTGAGTTTTTATATGTTCACACATCAATTAAAATTGAACTTATATAATTAGTGGTTTTACTATTTTAATTACAAGTTATCTTTTATTGATTGGGGGTCTCCTAATGCCAAGATGATCGATTAAATCAGCTATTATTTAATTATTTAAATTATGTAAAATTGAAATTGGTAGTCGGAATCAGTTCTCCAAAGACCATTATGTTCAGTGGGAGCGCTTCATTTCAGTCGTCCATGTGGTGAACAGCGTGCCTGTTGATTTCGTGGCGGATATTTTCATATTTCTCAGATGGAAGAAATTAGAATGATCGGCTGTGTAGAAGTTTAACCTCTCACATATGTCATCAATAATGGGACCCGACGACATGATCGTACAATCATCTGTTGGCCAACACTATTCTCCTCCGGATTTCAAAGCTGATTTTATTAGTATTGTTTATGGCGGTATCGAGATATATAAAATCGTTCACTACCTCGAAACGGTAGTTTTCCCTTACGATTTCATTTACATGCCCGCTGAGTTGGTAAGTTATTTCAGATATCTGCACTTTTGTCTTTTCCTGCACAGAGATAATGCATGTGTTGTTTGTGTAGGTCAAGTCAAAACTATCCTATGTATGGACTCAAAATCCACGATTATGTATGGTAGGGGCCCTTGATTTTTTTAAATAAATATTCTTTAAAAACGTCTAGAAAGGCATCTAAAAAATGTCTTTAAAAATCACGCTTATTGGGCCTTGAAATATTTTCGTTTGAATCCATGGCTTGTGTCGGTCATTTTTTTTAAATACAATCCTTGTGTTGGCCCATGAAAATAAATTGTTAAATTTACGCTTGAATTTAAAAAAAAATATATTTTGAAAATTCCGTGCCCCAGCCCTGTAGTTAAACCTTTAGAATCTCCCTTCGCAGTAAAGTTCATTTCTGCCGAAAATATGTCTACTTTGTATGCCTTAAATTCGGAATTCTATAAAACACATGGCCTATGCTCTTTCAGCTATTCCGTCCTATCAACATTTTCGAGCACCTCAATATTTTCCCTCGCATTTGATTATAACATTTCACTGTGATTTATTGTGTGGAGTGCCAATAAATGGGGGAACAATAAAAAACATTTGAAAATTAAAATAAAAAAAAATATATTCCAACACTTACCTTGGCTAAATCGGCACGATTCTCGATATTCAAACGATGTATAAATGGATTTATATAATTATTTTCTGTCCAATCCAGAGATTCAGATTCTTCGGAATCATTTTTGGCAATGATGGCAGCACCGGCAACAGGTGTAGCCGCTACTGTGTCGGTAGTACTATCATCGTGTGGTGGGCTATGGGCCGATGGAGAACGTCTCCGTTTAATGGTGGATGTTGTCATAGTTTAAATAATGTTTATATAAATATTTTTTGTTTTAATTCTTTTTTTATTTGCTTGAATTTTGGCAATAGGTTTTAATTTCACTCTCTCTTTCTCTGGCTTTATATCTGGAAAAGAAAATTTAACAAATTTTTATTTTTTTTTATTCTCTCTTTTTTCCGTTGTTTACTTTTTATTATGATGATTATTGCCAACAACGCAGTATTATTTTTTTCCTTTTTTGTTCTTATTCTTCAAATAGATTCTTCTTCACTACGAAACTTCATTATTTTGTTGTTGCTGTTGTTGTTTTTTTTATTAACACGTTGTATGGTGGTATGATCTTTTGTAATAACTCTTTATTGAGGGGGAATTTGTTCTCACATGCAGCACACTCTTTCTCTCTCACAACAACAACTGTTGCTCTTTTCTTCTTGTTGTCAAGATAGGAAAAAGAAATTTCTTCTTTTTGGTGCAAAATGAATGGCATAGAAAATAAGGATAGACACCAAAAACTAAAATACACTTTCTTTTCGTTAGATGATTATTATTGTTGTTGGTAGTTTTTTTGCTATCGTTTTTTTATTTTATTATTGCAAACTTTATATTCTTTCTTTGTTTTATATGCTAATGACGCATACAGACAGACATTTCACACAAACAATTTTTGCTATTATTTTTTTTTAGAAAATACTGATGACGAACGATGATGATGATGCTTTTCAGCTGATGTCTCGTAAAAACCATTTTGATTTAACTTACGATCATGCATACATACAGAGAGATAAACACAGGCACACACACGAGACACACGGAAATTAAAAGAAAGCGGGAAATAAATATTAACCGTCCACCGTCTATGGTGGCTGAGCGCAGACTGAATGCTATTCAACGGAAAAAACAAACATTTGTTGTATATTTCTTATTACCGGTGCCTTGACCACTCACTTGTATTAGTTAGTTTGTATAGTTTGTTGTTGTTGCATCCGTGTTTGAACAGAGTCGAGTCGGCATGTCTGTGCAGTGCTGCCAGATAAATTTCATGAAAAATCGTCAATTTTTCAGAAAAAAATCGGCATAATCGGCATTTGTATTTTAAAAAATCGGCAAAAAATCGGAAGCATATAACTTATAAGTAAATTCATATTTTTTTGGTTTATAACAAATCAATATTTTTTTATTACACTAAAAAAAGATAACAAATTCAATTCTGTATAAAAAAATAACATAAAAGATTCATTTATCTTCAAAAAATGTAGATCTGTGGAAGAACCATAATTCTTTGTACAAATTTAGACAAAACTGGAAAAGCTAAATTGGAGTCGGAAATTTTTTTCCAAAAACTTTTTAAATTATATTCTGCATTTTCAAAAATTTCTTCAAAATTCAGAAAGTTTAACTCCCTAAACTCGGAGTCTAAAGATTTGCCTTATTCGATGTAAAATGTAAACTAGACAGAGTACAATGCTGTCAAACAATGCAGATTTCTAAGCCATTGAAAACGGCTGCGGCGAGTCGTCGATAGTTATGATGATTTAAAGCTGCAAATTTTATATGTTTGTATGGTAACGCCGTATTAAATTAAAAAGTTAGACAATTTGTGTCGATTGTTGAAATATCGGCAATTCTGAGGCAAAAATCGGAAAATCGGCATTTTCCATTTTTAGAGTGAAAAATCGTCAAAATGCCGATAAATCGGCAAATATGGCAGCCCTGTGTCTGTGGCTTGATTTCATTGTCAAGAGAGTGCGGCCATGCATTGTTTGATATTTCTTACGGTCCATTCTCTGTCTCTCTCACACTCATAAAGGGGAAAATAACAAAACAGAGTGTTATGTTGCGGAGAATGACTGCATGAAGCCAGGGATGGGGATGTATAATTACACTATAAATTAAAAATATAAAATAAACTAATGTGGAATAAAATAATAAAAATTAAAAAATGTAACAGAAATATAATTTAATAATAAAAAACTATATCAAATTATAATAAATTATTTATAAAAATTCTGGGAAATTATTAAAACAAGATAACAAAATTGCATTAAAAAATTATTAAAAATGCATTTAAAAAATATATATTATATGAATATTATATGAACAATTAAATCGACACAATGAAATAAATTAATACAATAAAATATATTAATATGATGATAAAAATCCAAATTAAATAAAAATAAATAAAAAATCCATAAATAGAAAATTAAATGAACAAATAAGAAATAAATATAATTTAATTTATATATAAATAATCATATAATATAATATTATAATATAATTTATATTATTTTTCTTTAGCTGGCTTGTGACAGAACTTTCGTTCCATAAGCCGAGCTTAGAAAAGATTTCCAGGCGCGTCGGCCTTTTGCGCAGTTTTTCTAATTTGAAAGACCACTTTCGGCGATGATGTCTTCGACTTAATCTTTACAACGTATTTTTGGCCTTGTCCTTCTGCGTGAATCATCAGCTGGTTCGCTCTTATATGCCTTCTGGGCTTGGGCATCTTCATCCATTCTCACAATATGACCTAGCCAACGTAGTCGCTGCTGCTCAATACGTCTGATTATGCCGATGTCTGTGAATAGATGATACAACTCATGGTTCATTTGACGACGATATTCACCGTGAAGGCAGATCGGCACATAGATCTTTCGGAGAATTTTTTTCTCAAACACTCCAAGAGCTGCCTCATCTGTTTGCGTAAGTACCCATGCTTCAGACCTCTGAACGGATAGGGCTGTCGAATGTGGCTTTATAGTCGACGAATAGGTGAAATGTGTCGATGTGTTTTTTTGTAAGTTGCAATTGGGTAAGTTGAGCGGTGTAGGGTACAAATTTCCGTGTTACGTTAGATCACACCTTTGCTGCTACATTAAGGCGCGTGCGTACCTTGGCTGCCACAAGGTAATGGTCCGAATCGATATTCGCACCTCGGATCGATCGGACGTCTAAAACACTGGATGAATGCCTTCTATCACAACATGATCGATTTGATTTCTCGTTGTTCGATCGGGAGAAATCCAAGTGGCCTTGAGTATATCGACATGCTTGAATCTGGTGCTGCTAACTACCTTTATTTTTGCTGCCGTGAAGTCAATCAACCTCATGCCGTTGTCTGATGTTTCTTCATGGAGGCTGAATTTTCCGATGGTGTGACCAAAAATATTTTCCCTTCCGATTTTTGCATTAAAATCTCCTAGCAGAATTTTAATGTCATAGTCAGGGCAACGGTCATTTGCTGTTTCTAGGGTCTTTGATTTGTTCATCTTTATCTTCGGTCGGAGCATGGGCGCAAATGAGACTGATGTAGAAGAACTTAGCTTTTATACGGATTATAGCAATTCGCTCGTCTACTGGAGTAAATCTGGAGACGAGGTCTTTAATTCTCCTCTTAACCATCAATCCCCAGCCAAATTCATGTCTCGTTTCATGGCAGCTATAATACAGGGCGTAATAATCTGATTTACTTACGCTAGTCCCTTTCCATCACATTTTCTGTAAGGCAATAATATCGGCTTGGAACTTGAAAAAATAATCTTTAATAAATCCTCGCCTTAAATGACCTTGAAAAAATAATCTTTAATAAATCCTCGCCTTAAATGACCTTGAAAAAATAATCTTTAATAAGTCCTCGCCTTAAATGACCTTGAAAAAATAATCTTTAATAAATCCTCGCCTTAAATGACCTTGAAAAAATAATCTTTAATAAATCCACGCCTTTTAGCCCCTTTTTGTTTTAACATCAAAAAATGTAAAGAGAACGCATCAACGCTGGTGTGCAAGCCTGCCCAACTATGCTTAAAGGAACTTAAAAAACTATATTTTTACAATTTCAAATAGAGTTTGTCTGAATTAAAATGTCCCATCCCTGGCTTCACCATTCATCAAATCCAATTGGAATTTCTCCTTTCATTTTTCTTCATTCTATCTCTCTCCCATATAATTTCTATGTCTGTTGTATTAAAGAGGCATTTTTGAATTTCTTTCATTTTTCGACGTTGACATTGACTGGCTGCCGCCGGCGATTAAATCTAGCGGCATGTATGTTTGTGTGTGTTTTATGGTCGGGATACAAACATTTGACCAAACAAAAAACCCGATTTTGTCTTATGCACTTATTAATTTATTTTTTTTTTTTCGTTTACTTTGTTGCAAAATATTTCGCTTTTAACTCGTTAATATTTAAATAAAAGATGTCTGTCGATCATTCGATAGATATTGGTGTGTGTGGCTCATTTGTTTTTGTTTTGCACTCAGAGATGAGAGAGTCTAGCCCGAGTCGTTGGTCTTATTGGATTTCTTATTGACTGTGATGTTGATGATGACGGCGGAGGTTTGTTTATCTGACTTACTTGTGCTCTGCTGTCTCTCTCACTCTCTCGATACCGTTATTTACCAACAGCAGCAATTAAGTGTTCGTTCATATTTTCTGTAATTAAATCAGGAAGTGAGACAGATAATTAGTTCTCTTTTTTGCATACAATTTAGGAGAAATTAATGAAAAATATATATATATATATATATATTCATGAAATATATATATATTCATGAAATTTTGTATTTTTAGTCTAAATAAATAAATTGTAGTTAATAATGTGAATATGTGGTATCCATATTGGGAATACAAAGTCCAATGTTCCAAAAGAAAGAAAATAAAATACAATAACATTTTATATACCTGATTTTTTTGTCTCTATTTGATAGTAAAATTCGAATAAAGAGGTCTCAAAAAACTTTATCTATGTTAGTGTACATTTTACCTAATTTTTCAAGGTCCTTTAAGGCGTGGATTCATTAGAAAATAATAGTAGGTTGGGTTTTCCGAGAGTGGGCATCAGGGATCAGCATACTGTGTACCGTGCACAAAAAAGGAGACAAGACGATATGTGCCAACTATAGAGGAATAAGTCTACTTCCTATCGCATATAATGTCCTATCCAGCGTACTGTGTCAATGGTCAATGACATTATTGGACCATTCCAATGCGGCTTCAGACCTGGCAAATCCACCATTGACCAGATTTTCACTCTGCGCCCTATCCGTTCAGAGGTGTTTAAAGCCATGTCTACGTTCGGCATTCCTACAAAATTAATACGGCTATGCAGAATAACTTTAACTGGCAAAAGATCAGCTGTTAAAATCGAAAAGGATCTATCGGAGACCTTTAATAACGAACGAGGATTCAGACAAGGTGATAATTTATCGTGTGACTTTTTTAACATCCTACTGGAAAAGGTCACACGAGAGGCAAAAGTGAACAGAAATGGTACTCTGTACACCAAACAACACATGTTACTCGCGTAGACTCGGACCAACTGTGGAACTTGAACTCACACTCTACAAGACGCTGATACTACCCATGCTGTTATATGGATCTGAAGCATGGGAGTATTTGAGAGAAAAATTCTTCGAAAGATCTATGGACCGATCTGCGTTGACGGTGAATATCGCCGTCGAATGAACCATGAGTTGTACCAGCTATTCTCGGACATCGACATTGTTAGACGTATTGAGCTGCAGCGACTACGTTGGCTAGATCATGTTGTGAGAATGGATGAAGATGCCCCAGCCCAGAAGGCATATAAAAGCGAACCAGCTGATGGTTCACGCAGAAGTGGAAGGCCACGAATTCGATGGAAAGATCAAGTCGAAGGCGACATTGCCGAAATGGTCTTTCAAATGGGAAAAACTGTGCAAAAGGCCGACGCGCCTGGAAATCTTTTTTAAGCTCGGCTTATGGAACGAAAGTTCTGTAACAAGCCAGCTAAGTAAGTAATTTTTCAAGGTCCCTTAAGGCATGGATTTATTAGAAACTAATTTTTCAAGGTCCTTTAAGGCGTGGATTTATTGAAAACTAAATTTTAAAAGGGCTTTTATCAACATTCTTACACATAGAAGACTTTATTCAAGCCTTCTATAAGACATATCATTTAAAAATTATAATTATTTTATAAAAAAATGACATTGTTTTTATTAAATAAATTATTGATTATAAAAATTAATATTACATCATGTTTTAATTACTCAAATAAGTACAAATTATTAATACATATTTTATAACATAATTATTTTCTCTTTTTCCTATCCGATGAAGATGACGACGACTTTTTATCATCCTCCCCCTTGATATTGCCCGCATAGACCTGTGGCAGCGGCGCACATGTCTCCAATGTACCATCGGATTTATCATCTTTGGGCGGTTTATAATCCATCACATGATCCACTCGTATGGTGCGATTTAATATTTTAATACCATTCAAATTGTCCACGGCCAATATTGTGGAACGGGTATCTTCATAGCAGATGAAACAGAAGCCTTTCGATTTACCCGTCTCTTTGTCACGCACTAAATGGATGTTAACAATTTCACCATACTGTGAGAAGACACATATCAAATCACCCTCCGTCAGAGTGTAGGGGAAGCCACCAACAAATATCCATGCCGAATCCCGATACATGTCATGCCATGAGGCCTTGCCGGTGGCATTGTTCTGCAGTTCATGTTCGCTTAGTTTAATGACATTTTTCACATTTCTGAAAATTGGTGGGGAAAAAATCGATAAAAAATAATTAGACAAAACGGGGGGAGGTGTGAACAAAATAAAAATACTTACGTTAAGGGATTCATGATGGTTTTTTGAGTTTTGTCTTTTTCTTAAATTTTGTCACCAAAAATCTAAAATAAATAAACAAAAAAATATAAACAAATCACAGATATGCATATCATTTTTTTTCATATTCCAAAAAAAAAATTATTTGCACTTGAATATACAAATGTCTGTGTTTTGTTGTTATTGGTCTTCTTCTTATTTCAATTAGTTTATTTTTAATTCATTTATCAGCTTGGCAAATTGAACGCTACGTAAGTGTTCCACAATAAGTGTACTTTGTACTCGATTGTACGATCGAGGTTTACTCAGCAATAACAGAAGTCTATCGATGTAGACAGAGCGTACTATGCCGGCCGGCCCATTTTATATGACGTTTTTGTTTTTACACAAAGATATAGGAATGGGGTGTAATGATCAATAATTACAAAAAAAGAATGACCTTGAAAAATATTCTTTAAAAAATTCAAGCCTTTAAAATCCTCAAAAAAAAAAAAAAAATAATTTTTTAATGGACTTTGAAAACATATTTTTTTAATAATAAATCCACGCCTTAGAGGACCTCGAAATATGATTTTTTAATAAATCCACGCTTTAGAGGACCTCGAAATATGATTTTTTTTAATAAATCCACGCCTTAGAGGACCTCGAAATATAATTTTTTATAAATCCGCGCCTTAGAGGACCTCGAAATATGATTTTTTAATAAATCCACGCCTTAAAGGACCATGACAATTCTTGAATAATTCTTCTTCTAAAAAATGTAAATAAATATTCTTCTTCAGGCCTTTCCAACCACAATATAATTTCCCCCAAATTGGAAGATTCCATCACTTATTCATCGGCATCCATAGTGCACTTGGAAAACAAATAACCACACTTATATATAAAACATCATCATCATTCACATCTACACCACATGCATTTACACATATGCATACTGATACATACATAATTAGTATTGTAGATATGTATGTAAAGAAATGTTTATGAAGAATGAAAAAAAACACCCATAAAATAAAACAAAAAAGACGCAAGACATCAGGCGATTTTCTTGTTCCCCATTATCAAATGCCAACATCCTCCTCCTCCGTCTGGCTCATCGGCGGCATGCAATGGCTATTTAGGGTTGCCAATATTTTCTCTTAATTTTGCATAAAATTATTTGAAAAATTTTTGCATGAATAATTAATGAATGAAATATGTGAAGAATACTTGAGGAAAATGGTATCCTTGGACGCGAAAAATGGAGCTAGTCACTGAACTTTTAACAAAACTAGTCCGAGTCAATCATTAAGCAGATGAGACAGCTCTTGGAGTGTTTCTCCGACCACATTGCAGCGACTACATTGGCTATGTCATGTTGTGAGAATGGATGAGGATGCCTCCCCAGCTCAAAAAGCATAGATAAACGAACCAGCTGATGGTTCACACAGAAGGGGAAGGCCACGTACCCGATGAAAAAATCTAGTGGAAAACAACATCTCAGCAGGGTATTTCAAATTGGATGATCTGTGCGCCTGGAAATCTTTTTTAAGCTCGACTTATGGAACAAACGTTCTGTCACAAGTCAGCTAAGTAAGAGGTTTAACAATTCCGGAGATATGAACCCTCCTTTGAGAACTCCTTACGGGGTTTAGACTTCCACGGGGTTTCTGAATTCCACATACAACTGGCGTCCACACACATAAGTTGATTATCTAACGTTTCAAACAAGGTCGGAGATTTGTCTTCTCTTCTGTCTTCGAACAGTTTGGCATGGTTGACCCTTCGATAGGTCAAGTGTCATCATAACTGTCCGGTTGCATGGCGTGGTCTGGTTAAGTCCTCTGCTAATATGTGTGGAAATGGCGTGCAATGCTGTTGTTATGCTTTACATCTTACGAAATCCATGTTGATGTTGGAAAACTGCTTCCTAACGATGCGAGGAATAGCGCTTTAAATGTCTTTGCTACTGTCAAAGGGTTTACTTAAAAAATTTTATTTATCACAGCCTTGGATATCGGTTTTGACAATTCGACAGGGGATGGATTGACAGAGGGTGATTGTGCCTTATCAGCCTTCCTGGAGGCCTTTTTACGGACTCTACTTCGACCTGACTTCGACAGTCCCCTACCTTCTGTCTTTGTGGATGCTGGTGTCTGAGACGTCTCAGTACTCAGTTTATCCTTGGAGGGTACTGAGGGCTTAGAAGTCTCAGGCACCAGCTTCCTAGGTGTAATAGGACCTCCGACAGGTTTCTCCTTCTTTGAAGGGACTACGGTGGTTGTCATCGTACTGGGTCTAGAAATCCCTTTCAATCAAGAAGTCCCTCACAATATCATTCGGATAGTTCCTGATGAATTTGAGGTTCCTCTTGATCAAAAGAAACTTCTTTAACGTGATGGAGTCGCTGTCGCGTCCGATGAATCGGTTGCAGTAGTTAACCGCTCTCCGGTACAACTTCTTGGCAGCGATCTCCTTGGCATCGACTTGCCTTGCAGTTACTGGTACTGGTGATTCATCCATCTTAACGACGGCAGTCTCATCAGTACCAGTATCCGCTTCGACAGCCAAGTACCTGAGTAGTCTCGCGACATCAGTAAAGGCCATGGAGATTGAGTTCGGATCCTAATATGTCTGAATCTGTTCGCGGAATAAAATTATTGTCGTTATAAACGATTTTGATTGTATTTAATTTTGTGGACCTGTGGGTATCGGACTAACGTTCCACAATACATTCACTCTACGTTCCGTCCTGCAGTTTTAAATACAATGGACCATATGCTATCTTGTGTCGCGACTTCTGTCTGCTTCCGATAGTCTCGCCTCCATTACCCCAACCAATTCCCAGCATTCTTTGCGACACCAACATCGCTATAAGGATGGATGGATGGATGCACCTATTCCCATTTTTTACACAATTTGGCAACTATGTTGGCAAGCGAAAAACCTCTATTAAGATAACAGAAAAATGTCGAAAGGGGTTATTTTGTTACACTCCCACGTCTTGCTACGAGATGTAGGTACTACGTCATAAGTGGAACTTATATATTTTTTGGTTCACACACTGGCTATAGCTGAGGAATGGGGGGCAAGAGGTACGGCCATGTGACGCCACACAAATAGAAATGTGTTAAAAATATGCAAAATAAAAACGAAAAAATTTTTAATATGTAATTATGAAGGAATACAATGAATAATACCACCCTGCAACAATCCAAATATTTTTCAAATCATTTTACCAAAAAGAAATCCCCAAAATTCAAATGCCCTGCTACTCCTCAAGCCTTTTTTTGCATTATTTATGCAGCAAGCAAAAATTAGTCCATAGATATTTCTGGGCCAAGAACTTGCATTACCTCTATTTCCAACACGTTCGAGATGTAGCAATATCCGTTAATATTGTTTTATATAATTCCGATTTTTATCTGAATTTTTATTTATTATTTTCTATGCCATTTATTTAAAGAAAACACACAAAACAATTGAATTTGTCACTACACACTTTTTCTTGTTTAGTTATGCCGAGCGATTCTCCGAACGAAATTATTGTCGCCGCCGCGTCCAACGTTTGTTTTTCGACTGGGGAAAAGAATAAGGCCTACTTTACACTATTCGTCATTAGAAGTCTTTTTTTCTCTCCCGCTTTTTTCACCGACTGCAGACACATTGAAAAACGTTCCACCTGTTACGAATGGGATAAGACAAAATGCCCGATAACGAAGAAGTCAAAGTGGAGAACCCAAAAGTTAATTGTTGAATGATGGAAAAGAAATAAATGTGAATAGCGATGCGTTAGTGTGGGGTATTTGGTAACCTAACAAAGCACTGAGTCGTATATGAAACGTAACGTAAACGTACGGTAATAGCAATGGGTAACATACTTTAAAAGATTTATATTTATTACGTATTTTTTAAAGAACACCTTTTCAAAGTTCTTTTAAGGCGTCGTCTTATTAAAGAATAGTTTTTAAAGGTCCTCTAAGACGTGGATTTATTAAAGAATAGTTTTCAAGGGCCACACGAGGCGTGGATTTATTAAAGAATATTTTTCAAGGGCCAACTGAGGAGTGGATTTATTAAAGAATATTTTTCAAGGGCCAACTGAGGCGTGGATTTATTAAAGAATATTTTTCAAGGGCCAACTGAGGCGTGGATTTATTAAAGAATATTTTTCAAGGGCCAACTGAGGCGTGGATTTATTAAAGAATATTTTTTTAGAGGCCTCTAAGGCGTAGATTTATTAAAGAATAGTTTTTTAAGGTCCTCAAAGGCGTGGATTTATTAAGGAATAGTTTTCTGGCCTTCCATAAGGCGTGGATTTATTAAGGAATAGTTTTTAAAGGGCCACTAAGGCGTGGATTTATTAAAGAATAGTTTTTAAAGTGCCTTTAAGGCGGGGATTTATTAAAGAATAGTTTTTAAAGGGCCCTTAAGGCGTGGATTTATTAAAGAATAGTTTTTAAAGGGCCCTTAAGGCGTGGATTTATTAAAGAATAGTTTTTAAAGGGCCCTTAAGGCGTGGATTTATTAAAGAATAGTTTTTAAAGGTCCTCTAAGGCGTGGATTTATTAAGGAATAGTTTTTAAAGGGCCTCTAAGGCGTGGATTTATTAAAGAATAGTTTTTAAAGTGCCTTTAAGGCGGGGATTTATTAAAGAATAGTTTTTAAAGGGCCCTTAAGGCGTGGATTTATTAAAGAATAGTTTTTAAAGGGCCCTTAAGGCGTGGATTTATTAAAGAATAGTTTTTAAAGGGCCCTTAAGGCGTGGATTTATTAAAGAATAGTTTTTAAAGGGCCCTGAAGGCGTGGATTTATTAAAGAATAGTTTTTAAAGGGCCCTTAAGGCGTGGATTTATTAAAGAATAGTTTTTAAAGGGCCCTTAAGGCGTGGATTTATTAAAGAATAGTTTTTAAAGGGCCCTTAAGGCGTGGATTTATTAAAGAATAGTTTTTAAAGGGCCCTTAAGGCGTGGATTTATTAAAGAATAGTTTTTAAAGGGCCCTTAAGGCGTGGATTTATTAAAGAATAGTTTTT